CTTCCTCCTCCGACTCACCCCCGTTTTCTCCTTCCATCGTCATCAGAGCTGCTAGAACCGCCTCGAGAAGAACTATCTGAACCGCATGAATAAAACCCTGAACGGCAACGGTAGGCTGTGCTAGCTGAGTGGTGGTGCGGGATTTGATACAGTGAACAGTCATCTCGAAGCAGTGCCACCCCCCAGGGGAAGCTGAGAAAATAATCAAGGTCTCGAATCATCTCCGCGTGGTCTTTGGGGATCTTCATGCCTGCGGATTTGCGGTAAAGCAGTCCATCGACGATGAGGAGACATGCGTATTTGACCTTCATCTCGCTGGACAGATTTTTCGAGCGCCTAAGCATTACCTCCAGCTTCTCGCCATTGACATTTTCATCTCCCCCGAATAAAGTGAACCAGTATGGGACTTCTCCGGGTTTACACATCAGCATTTCCCGAGGAGGGGGTGGAATGGGTTTGCAGTTTAAGCCTGTCACAATCGCGAACTCGCGGAGGGAGAATTTGACCGGCTTGCCGCCGAAAATGAACCACAGCTCATACCTTTTTTCGTCTTCAACTGCCGTGTCAGAAGAAAGTGAGCGAGTTTGCCGTAGTGAGCGGGTTTGTGATACATGTCGAGCAATTTCCCAAAGCAAGGCCGAATGAGGCTGAGTTCGTCAGGTGTGAGGGCTTTTAAGATAACCCCGAGTGTGTCGAGCTTGAAGTACGAATTCACTCGGTCACCGACTGGCTCTTGGTGATCAGCGAATAGACGGTGTGGAAGCACGTTAGATTCCATCCCTGCCAACAAGAATAGAAAAGAAAGGATCAGTCTACAGGGGTTACATGAAAATGTAAACGCTCTATGCCAGTATATGGATGTCTATCTCGCAGAGTGTATATGCATATGAAAGAGAATCCGCGCTTTATCGGCGATGTTTATGGTGGTCTATATACCGCTAATGGATGCCTATTAAAGGCGGAGGATTGTGATATAGGGTAATATATGCAAAGTTCTAACGGCAGTAAATGCAAAACTGATCTATATGTAGGCAATGGCATGTTGTGTCAGGCGGGTTTAAAGAATAAATGGAAGCACATATGAGAGGATTCAACTTGCTCCGAGAAGGAGGGCGTCGATATTCGCCACCACAAATCGGGGTAAGCAGACACGGGATTAGGCGTAGAGGGGCGGGAGTTCGAATTACCTGAGTTATCAGTTGCTGGCTTCCGTGTCTCGGAATTTCAACGGCTGAGATGATTTGCTAGTCGGGTTCGGAATTAGGCGGAGACTCCCGAAGATGGATACGATGGGATTGAGCGCCTACAGAAGTAGAGCAATAGGGAAAGTCTGAGAGGCCCGGACAACTATTGAGCCGGGGGTTAAGGAGATTGCGCGACCGGCGGTAATTTTGCGGTAGGATGAGATTCGGAACGGGTGTTGCTCCTAGACGTTTACTTGGCCTTCGAGAGTGGAAATTAGGGTTCGGAGAACGAAGGGACGCGGGATATTAAATGAGCAGTTACTCACGCCAGAATCGAACATAGTTCAAGCTTTACAGATTTAACTAAAGAACAATTTTATTAATTGGTCCGTGGGACTCCACGTGCTACTTTGGCGGAGAAGTTCAAAGATTGATCGCGCGTGGGGGTATCATGGGCAAAAGGATTGGCAAATTATTTTAATACTCAGGCTATGGAAAATAATAGTCAATTTCTTAGTTCAGTAACAGTCTTTCCCACCTAGTGCAATTTCCCTTGATTTTTCTATACAATGAAAATGGCTTAATTGTTGTAAGTGTTCTCTTTTTGTAATATGTCTCTCAGAAAGTGTTTTTAGTGTAAAATATTCTAAAATATTTGATATGTCCATATTGAAGGTTTTCCTTCTTGCATCCGCCGGTTATGATAGCATCCACAACACCAGAACCGTGTCCCTTTTATATTTCTAAACCTGGTGGGAGTGGATTAATCAGTCTTGAACTTGCGAAGAACCAGAGATGGTTTAATTCTGTTACAATATAGTTGGTGCTAATGTAAATACTCAGATCCATTAAAAAAACTCGACCTGCTATTTCCGTTCCTCGTTTGGCCTCTTCATTTCGATCTTACATATCTTGTTTAAGGGTTGTTTCCATATTTTAGACTTGAAACTCCATTTAAGTTTCTTCACGAATATAATTCCAGGGAAAGAGACCAAAACAAGTTAGAGATTTAAAAAAGAAATATTTGAATTTAGTCAATTAATGATTTTGAAAAACTAACTACATCTTAAAACAAGATATGAAATACGAATTAGTTTTGAAACCTCTATATATGAATTTGTATTTTTTTCTAATTTTTATTCAATAGACCTCCCTAGCTAGAATACAAAAAAAAAGGATAAAGAGGTAGATGGCTAAATTTGAGGTTTTTATTAGGGAAATGGCAAGATACTTACACGCTAGAAGGAAATGGCTAAAGGATGCTGAAAAGGTATAATTTGCTATGTCTATTTACAGCAAGTGCCACCAACGTGCGCGTGGGATTGCCAATTGATGAGGAGACAATATCTTTATTATTTGTTGACAGAAGTGTAGAGCATGTAACTATTGTTATAAGTATATGTAGTAAATGACTACTTACAGATCTATACCTGAGTAAATGCATGAGTTTAGCCTAAATCTGGGAAATAATTATTGATTTTGACTTCGATCTTAATGGTGTAAGTATTGCTGTTGACCACGTTGGTGGATGCTCCCCTCGTGATACTGAATTCCAGAGGGCTGGGGTGACTGTCGATGGGATCCCCCCCATTCTCGTTCGCTAGGAATGCAGTTCCAGTATTTGATGACTTAGAGAAAGAAGGTACATATTGTAGACGTAGCAAACATATGCATATATTATTTTATAGCGTGTTATTTGATATGATAGGGATCTATATTGATACATGAGTACGATGAGTAAAATGTAAATCTATAAAGTGTTATAGTTGTCTATTGACATTGATGGAGAGTTATTATCATATTTGGAGGGTTATTTGGTATGATGGGTGGTTATCGTACGAGGCAGATAACGTAAGTTATATTATAACATGTTATTTGAGCTGATAGCTATCTATGTTCATAAACAAGTGTATTATATGTAAGTCTACAAGATATTATAGTTGTTCACTAACATTTATGGATGGTTAAGGATATCTACATTGGAGTATTGTTTGATATGATAAGTGGAAATATGAATGCATGGTAAAACCAGAGAACATTAAAGTGTAAAATATGTTTAGAATGTCTAAAGTAGTTGATGAACTGTTTTTCACAGGGTTGAACCAAACCGAGAATGTAATATTGGATGTGGCATATGAGGGAATGAGTACCAATGGAGTCAAGTTTGAAGTACGAGCTAACCTTGTTACCTACTCACTCGTGATAATCAGCAAATAGACATTGCGGGAGATCATTAGTAACTACAGATGTACAGCAACAGTTATTAAAATGAGATCAGATAAACATGCAAGTCCATGTCATGTGTTGGTGAAGGTCTAACTACGGTGATAGATGACTATTTATCTGAGAAGATGTATATGAATATGAACTCATGCAAATCCGTTTGCAGCACATCTTTCGCTGATTGGATTTGCTCTGATTCTCTTCCACTTTGTTTAAAAAATTTACTTGGAGATTGCAAAATTCTTCGTCAGTTTTAGGTAAAACAATTCTAATATAGAGTAAAGAAGTTTGTTTGTTGATTTTGTTGGCAAGAAACATGGAGAGAGAGAAATAGAGAGAAAGAGATGTGTGGAGAGAATGCATTTAAGAGTTTTGGTGGAAAGAAAAAAAGAAAAAATATTAAAATAATATCAAATATTTTGATCTGCTAAATATATGCGTAGGGATATTTTTGACTAAGTTAGTGGTTAAATATTATGATGTTTAAACATTTAAATGCTTTTTGTCAATTTCTCAATTAACTACAAGTCATTTGCTATCTACCCAATAATCTCAAAAGAATATTGGAGCATGAGATAAGTCAGAAATAGTAGTTAGTCTATAATCCCATATTTTAATTGATCTTTTCTGTTTGTTGAATGCATTGATTTCGACTTTAAGAAGAAAGAAAATTTCATTACCACTTTTCTGCACATCATGAACCAAATTTCAAATTAGATTGAATACTATATTAGTATATATAAACATTTCTTTTCATGTTCACAATATTGTTCTTGTCCTATTTCAACTGCTCTTCCGCATCGTTTGTCCTTTTGTGTTTTTTTGTCATATTGCTTTTATCCTTCATTAGATCAAAGTGGTTAGAAAACATATGGTGAAACTGTAGAATTTACATTGCACCAAAAGACCATTTACATTTGATAGAAATAAAGAAATCTAAACAAATTAGGTGGTCTGAGAGATAGGATGGATGCTGGGAGAATTTTCACCACGACGACAATTTCGACAACGTCGACAAATTCCTACAAGGGCAAAGATAAAGAAAACAAAAAGCATCATCACCGGAACCATCCATGGCTTGAACCATGGAGGATCTCTTGGAAAGATCAATGCAGCTTCTTCTTGTTTAACTTGGTACCGTTTGATGTGTCTTATATTGTTGTTGTTCATAAACAACAAACACATTTTTCTTCCCATCTCCTGAGTTTCCCCTTCTCGGAGACGAGAAGAAAAAGTAACAACACAGCGAAAATCCCCAAAACATTTGTTTATGATGATATCTTAATGTTTTGTTCAAATGTTTATTTTTAGTGTTTTTGCTGTAGTTTCTTTATGAGATTTTGGACATTTGCTATTTTGGGACATTCTTGAGACTTGATCAGGATAGGCTCTTGTAATGTATACTTTCTTGATCTTTTTAGTCATGATTCATGAACTCATTCATATTGTGGTTTCATTTTTTAAAAATACATAAGAATGATGAAAACAAACAAATGCCTAAAATTACAAACCTTTGAAATTCAGAAAGAGAAACCAAAAATAGAAGACAACAAAAGAAAAATGGAGATTTAAAACACAGACATATAACAAATACTAAACAAAAGCAGACAAGCTTGGGACGAAAGAGAACCAGCGAAACCCACAGCTCCATTTTTCCGGCAACGAAGGACATTTCGGAACCCAATGCCAAGTTCTTCTCCCAACATGAAAGAAGAGAATCTCAGGCCAATTATAGCAATAAACACAGATCATCTCCCTGTGCCACAAACAGTAAACATGCTCGTAATTGTGGTAACAAACCGAAGTGAATTTCCGACAAACAATCTCCGGTAATGTCTCAGCTTCGATCCAATTCTCTGTTTCTTCTTTAAATTCCCAAATCTTGATGCTCCTGCAAATCCCGTTGCTCCCGATTCCACCAACCATGTAAAGTACCTTTTTCTCCGAATCACTAACTAATCTCGCAAACGTGATCTCATCGTCCGCCGGAAATACACCGTCTCTGGTAGCTGTAGTCCATTTTCCGTCGTTGAGATCGACGCTCACGATGAGAAAAGGCTCGGATCTAGCGAAATAGAGAGACCCATTGTAAAAGACTCCATCTTGATTAAACCCACGAGGTAAAACTTGATCAACGTCGCCGAATTTCTTCCACGAGCCTTCGCCGGAATCGTAGATACAAACGGATCTCGAAGTGGCAGAGGAGGAGGAGAGAGTGAAGATTCTGTAGCCGTGAGGGGAAGCGACGAGGGAGAGAAGCTCATAAGGAAAAGGGTAAAACGGGAATTTAACAGATCTAGAGCATCTGGTTAAAGGATTGAAGATTGATAGAGAAGAAGCAGAGGAAGGGGAAATGGAGAAACAGAGGAGGCCGTGTGAAGAAGAAAGGAGGGAGGAGGAGGCGCAGGTTAGCGAGAGTGAATGTGGGAGTGGTAATGTGCGCCATGAGTGGAGATTAAAATCGAACAGAGGGAAAGAGTTGAAAGATTGAGGGTGAGAGAGGAGGAGGAAAGAAGGGAGTGAGAAAGAGTGGTCGGAGAGGAAACTCGGAGAGAAGATTAGAGATCGGAGATGGCGAGAGATTGATCGGAGAGCGACGAGGGTTTTGAAAGGGAGGAAAGAGAGGATGTGGTCGATGATGTGGTTAGGTAGATTTGACCAGATGATTGGATTCATGGCCGTTGGAGAAGATAAGGAGGTGGGGGAAGATTCCGGTGACCAGTAGAGAAAAGTGGAGGCGGTGGTTGTAGTGGTGGTGGTGGTGATGGTAATGGGTTTCTTGCCCGGACCTCTGAGGTGGAACATGGTGAGAGATTTTGTTGGAAGAGAGGAAAGTGGAGTTGGAGATTTTGGACTAAGTAAATCTCAAGTGGTTTGGTTTTACTTGAAAAGACTTATAAAAGGGGAAGAAGAAGACGACGCGTATAAGAAACTCCGTTTCCGGTGTAGACCGTTGACATTAGATGTTGAAATTTTCGACCCGCATTTAATTCGAAACGGAGCAGATTAAATCGAAAATACTTGCTCGGAAGTGGTCAACAATTTTTTTTTTCATTTTTGTTGTTAACTTGGTAAATCCAGATTAATTCCTTTAGATCTAAAAAAATTTCAAAATTTCATGCCATTGAAAACGTGTAAAGATGACCAATAATATTTGGTATCGTATTTGAGAATACTCGAATTCTACCAAAAAAATTAGATTAAACTTTCATCACCACTCAATTAAAAATGGACATTGTCACATTTTCCAACTTTTTTAGATAACCTTCTTCATTTTCGTAATAGGTTTTTATTGAAAATATTTTGGGAAGCAAGTATAAGTTTGTGTATTCAAAATAGAATTTAGAAGGATTTGTATTAAAATCACAAATTCTACGTTATTAAAACATAAATTTTTAAAAATTATTTAAAATTCAGTGTTATTGAACTAATGATTTGAAAATGTAACTTAAAATTTACTGTCATTGGAAATAATTGAAGTAGTGGGTTTTAAGAAACTTGGAGTGATTTTAAAATGTTTTAATAAATTTTTCTAGTCAAAAATATAATAATTCAAATCTCATGGTTTTAGGTAGAGCTTGATAGAATTTTCATATCAAATAATAACAATTTCTATAATTTAACCAAATTATCTAAAAACTGACTAAAACTCAAATTCTTCTAAATAATTTCAAATGTTAAGTTGAATACACTCCTCTAAGTGATTAAATACTGTTTACAAAGTAAAAGTCTGTGAAAATCAACTATAAAATATTCTCATAAATATTTTATTGTCATAAATATTAGAAAGATTTACAATGATTTGGTATTAAAAATGTTACTGCTAATCATTATATATATAAATATATCTACTAGATTAGGATCTGCATATATGCATGTTCATAAAATATTTATGAATTCATAAAAATAATTTGAAAAGAAAATCAGATAATATGTAGAAATAATAAATAAAAAAATTTAAAATATCAAAGCAATATTTTAAAAATAATAGTAATAATAGGTATCTTTTCATCATGTATGACTAAAATCATATAAGCTCGAATAAGACATTGTCTATCTAAAAAGAGAGTTGACAAAAAAATGAGAGCATTAGGGTTTTGGCAACATAAGGGGCGATTTCCGCAACCATAACTTATCACGCACACAAGTGTAGATCTGGTCCACAACTACCAAGCTCTGCTAAAAAGTTAAAGATAGTCTATTTCTCAACCTCACAGACTTGTCTCGATGGCTTTTTCGACTAGATCTTGACTTGCTGTGCTTTTTTGTGGGATCTGGCTTCCCCCATTTCAGTAGGCCTTTTGCCAATCCTCTAGCTTTTGCTATGTTTCCTGGTTTCTCAAAGATCCTAGCCTCTAGCGTAAGCTACATTTCTTCCACTGAGATCTCGAAAGTTTGAAAGCTGATCTTTCAACTTTGCTACGTAAAATACGCTGCTTCACTTATTACGAAATCAGTCTTTAGTTTTGTAAAACATTCTCAATTGGTTTGAAGGGGTGACGAAACAGATTGATCGATAGACATCGTCTCCTCCGGGCGGTGTTTTGAAGAAAATGTTTGATCCGATAGGATCTTTGTTTATTTGGTGGTGTTGTTTTGGCTCTCATCTGAGATTAAGGGTTAAAATCTCTTATCTAATTATCCGTTGTGGATCTAACTTTACTACGTGTATTATGGTGGGTGTTTCAAACGATTGCAATCTCTAGTTTTGTACTACGATTTGATTGTCACCGTAGGAGAAAAGATGGTGCTTGTGTCTGATCTGTTTTCTATATTACTTTGGGCAAAAGACGTTATAAGCTCTACATCAAGAATGCTGTAAAAAAGTGGAAGCATATCACAAATAAGAAGACGGTTGGAGGACGATGATATTATCAGGATCCCAACATGTGATCTGATGGTCGTGGCAGACGTGATCCCAACATGTGATGAGCCGTGTGTTCTACTGTGAGGGGAGAAGCATGAAGGCACTCTTGACCCAATTACTGAGAGCAATGATTTGGGATGTCGAAGGGAGGGTCAATGGTACAAATCTCGGCAATGGAAGGTTTCAGCTTGATTTTGAAAGAGAGGAGGACCTAATGAAAGTGTTAGCAAAAACGCCCATACCATTTCAACAGATGGAGTTTTGCCCTTGAGAGATAGAAACCCTTTACATGTGAAGACTCCCCTTTTACGGTACCTTTTTGGCTTTGATTCACCGGAGTGCCGGTCCATTACTGGAACAGTGATACTTTTAAAGTCATTGATAAAGCTTCTGGATGAGTCCTCAAAACAGATGCAGAGAATTCAAGACTTCATGCTTCAATCAATGTCAACGAGCCGCTACAGTTTTGAAGACGGGTTGGATTCCAGAATGGCTACATTGGAAAAATTAATTTTGAGTATGAAGGTCTTCATTGTTTCTGCTACATGTGCAAACGTATATCACATGAAATCAGCTCTTGTCCAGAAGCGATGGAAGAGGAAAGATTGAGTTTCAGTAAGCCTAGAGATAAGGCAGTAGGACAAATTACCCAAGGAATTTCTATGCAACCTCTAAAAGTTAGAAAGACCGTTTCAAAGGATACTCATAAGCATACGAGATCCCAACCAAGGGAAGAAAGGGAAGATAGAGACTTTCAGCATTAGCAAAGAGCCCATTTAAGAGGAACAAGGGATAGCTATAACACGAGCAGAAGAATCTCTGAGTATCAATCCAGCAAGCTTGGAAAACTCAATTCGGGGGCAATGAGAGATCCCATTCGTGGAAATGAAGAAATGACTGAATATAAATCTCAACAGAGGAATAGTAGTCACTATTTTCCAAACTATCCTGGACCCTCAGAACCTGAAAACAATTAAGAGAGAGACCTCCGCTTGAGTCTTAGGGAGAAGAGATACGTCTGCGGAAAGGAGGTATGAAGCAGACTTGAAAAGCCAATTGCAAGTTCCCTTCCGCGAAATCGCGAGAGTGATTGGCTATATTCAAGGTCTGGGTATGAGAGGCCTTCACAGAGATATGAAGTTAATAAACAAAGTGCTACATGGAGACCAGAAGCAAAGGAAAATAAAGACGAAGAGACGCCTCGACATTCACCATGCAAGGAACCTCTAATGAAGGAATCTCCGTTGGTACCGGAAGCTTCAAAAAAAAATCTCTGATTCACATAGAAGTATTGAACTATATCTGATCAGTTAACTGGATTGGATATGGGAAATAGCACAGAATTCAAAACGAAGATATCTCTGATCTTTCAGGTGGAAAACCCAAAAACAATCGCTTAAATGCCCTTCTATAGGTCCTGGTAGCAAGAGACGCATCTTACAGAGACTTAAAATTAGGAGAGCGTGTGCTTCGAAGATTATCTACAGTAATAAAGGACGTACATCACCAAATAAAAGATATGAATCAAGTAATAATTTTTTTTTTCCTTTTCGCAAAACTTTCAATTTTTTTTTGGTTATAATAAATTATTCACCGTGGAGCCGGAGGGTATAAGTGGTGGACTAGCTTTTTTTATATGGATTCTTTTGATGTTAAGATTCTGTTCTCGAATAATCGTCTGATTAACATCGAAGCTGTGATAGAAAAACAAAAAGTCTTTATGACATTTGTCTACGAAGATCCGGTCATTCAGTGCCGAAAAATTGTTTGGGAACAGATTACACGGATCAGTACCACGAGGACTGGTCTGTGATTCATGAGTGGGGATTTCAATGAAATTACAGGCCATCATGTGCCTTTCCTTACTTTTAATACAACGCTTGAAGACACATGAATATAGGAGTTCCCGATGAAAGGTAATTTCTTCTCATGGGTTTTATATAGAAGGAGTGGCCGAGTTAGATGCAAGCTTGATTGGGAAATAGGTAATGAAGACTGGCATCACACTTTCTCCCACACGTCTGTGAAGTATCTACGATTATGGAGCTCTGATCATCGGCCAGTTCTGGCTCATATTCAATCACGTAAAGGCAGAGTTAAGAGAAATTTTAAATTTGACAATAAGTGGCTTGGTAAGGACGGTTTATTAAAGACAATCATCGAATTTGGGGAACCTCCGACGTCTCTAGAACCTCGGACCTGTACGCCAAACATTGAGAATTGTCGAAAAGCAATATTAACCTAGAGATGCCTTCACCCCTCAAAATGCAATTAGAAAGATTGTAGAGATCAAAGAGAAGCTGGAAACTACCCAACTAGATAACCTGACCACAAAGGATGAGCTTTTGACTTTGAAGTGGAATCTCTGTGCAACCTTCCACAAAAAAGAACTTTACTTGACATAGAAAAGTTGGGCAAACTGGTTAAAGGAAGGAGTCAGGGGCACAAAATTATTTCATGCCACCACAAATCAAAAAAGAGCTAGAAATAGGATTATTAAACTCAAAATTGCCTCTAGAGTCTAGGTTGAAAATGAACAAGAGCTGGAAAAGGTGGCTACTGAGTATTTTCAAGACTTGTTCACTACATCCCAGCCTCAAGATTTCGATGAGGCTCTCCGGTACGTTACCGTGCAAGTAACTCCAGCTATAAATGCTACACTCATCATGATGGAGATAGATCATTGCAATTGTTGGTCTTCAACGAGGAATTTCTAAAAAGTGGGAGTCATCAGCTCGCGTTGATTACGTCTCTGCCCTTTGTACACACCGCCCCTCGCTCTTACTGATTCAATGATCCGGTGAAAGATACCATGTATGCTATGGATGAATTGGAGGAGTTCCCTAAGATGGCGGTGGAAGATAATATGTATGGTATGGATGAAGACAAGATCGATAATGATGATTTATTGAGAGACGAAGCTGAGGATGAAGCAACC